GCGCGCATGCGAGGGAGGCCAGGTGCGAGGCTCGGATTGGTCCACCACTTCGGACACGGGGCGAGTCAGCAGCCACGCGTCAGAAGGAGAAGCGAGAAGGGTGGCTCCTCTGATACGTGTCGGACCAGGAAAGGACCGGACTTCGGTCCAATGGGGAAGAAGGGCGACGACTTCGGACCAATCAGCGGTTGCCACGCGAGGCTGCGGTCCAATCAGAAGATGCCACGTGGAGGCTGCATGCGAAGGGTGACGTGGCAAAAACGTGACTATGCGAATTTTCTCGGTTTTCGCGCCAAAACTTCTAAAATCCATAACTTTCGCATACGAGCTCCGTTTTTGACGTTCTTTATATGCACGCGTAGGTAAAATTACGCTCTACAACTTTCGTTTAGACTTCGTCGGCTAACTTTGAATTTAATTTTTATATTATTATTTTTAACAGACCGGGACAGGAAATCCGTTAAAAATTCATAACTTCTTCATCTGACGTCCGTTTTCGTCAGACTTTTTATCGTTGTGCTACTAATGACGAGATCTTCGATTCTCGTTTAGGTCGTGTCGGCTAAAAATCACTCGATCTAAAATTCAAGTTTTTAGCTGTCTACTGCTAAGCCGAAACTTCGAAAAATCATAACTTCCTCATACGAAGTCATATTTGGGCGTTCTTTTTATACCTACTCTCGGTTTAACGAACACTACGAGTTTCGTTTAGATCATTAAGGGTAAAAAGTAGTTTATCAAAAACTCACGTTTTATGACATTCGGCACCGTGCCGGTTTATCGTGAAACTTCGACAGGTCATAACTTCTTCGTTATAACTCGGATTTCGGCGTTCTTTATATTTTCGGAAATCTCGAGACATATACTACAACTTGGTTAAGATTAATCCTTCTAATTAATCTTCCATCAAAAAGTCATTTTTGATGCTTATCGTCTCTAAATTGACTAGTCCGGATCTACAGACGTTACACATATAAAGTGTATTAATGAACCCATGAGAAAAGTACTCCCGTATAGTTAGTGTGAAACTTGTTTTCATGGCATAAACTATTATGAGACATGCAAGGACCTAAAAACTTCATATTGTAAGTTAAAGTATGTAGTTGGTATGACTATGGTTTGGGGTGAACTTAAAACAATGAATTAATGATAATTCGGTGATACAATATGTAAGTTCTTGTACTCTATTATGTTGTATCATAAACTGAGTAAATTTAAACCATTGGATTATGAAAGAAAATGATAGTTCACTCTGAGACGGTTTCGTGGATATAAAGTTTGTCAAAAAACAGAGTATGTATGAGAAAGTTATGGACGTTTGAAGTTTAGATAAAAGTATGTTTTTATTTTGAGAAAGTCAACGATTAACTCTATGATTACCATGACATGACAATGAATGTCTCACTAAGATACGTGTTAACAGATGACACGTGGCAATATGACTACCACCACGTGTTATGAGGCAAGTCACAGGGACACATATTGAGAGAGTGTGACATGTGACGAAATTGGGGTTCACTTGATCACCACGACGTGGTACACATATGGCCACGACGTGACGATGCCCAAAGTATAAATGCAAGCATTTCGTGTAATTTAGGAGATTTTGGCACGTTCGATCGGAGATGTTGCTTGGGAGTCGTTATCGGGAGATTTTAACGGATAAGATATACTGTTGAACGGGAGATATGGGGTTGAGTTATGGGATTTACGGAGGTATACTTTTATCCCGTTTATGTAAATACAATTATATGATATTTTGTTGATAATTGTTAGACCCGAGTATGTGTTACGAAAAATTGTGATATGGTGTTATTACAAACCTAGTGATTTGTTAAATGTTAATATGGTCATTTTGGGTTAAATACCCTAATTTACCGAGATTTGTCGATTATATTAACGGCTTACATGGTAAAGTCGCTAGTAAATTGAATTTGAAAACATGATTAGTTTGTGTGACAATTAGTTATCGGGTCTGGTTAGTGACCATGTAATTGATCGTTGTGGTGAATATAACAATAAAATTAAACAAGCTCTAATGAACTTTATATATTGTCCATACCAATGGGTCGAAGGCACCAAGGTCGGCCCATTATTTGCTATGTGATATGCTAGTTGATTATGTGGGATGTGGTATGCTATTTGTATTTGTGATAATTGTATGAAATACCTCGGGGGGTTCTCGAGGCACTTGGGTGTAAGACCTTGGAGGGGTTTCATGGCATCCTTAGTAAAGACCTTGGGGGGTTCCCGAGGCACTTGGGTGTAAGACCTTGGAGGGTTTCCATGACATCCTTAGTAAAGACCTCGGGGGTTCCTGAGGCACTTGAGTGTAAGAACTTGGAGGGTTTCCATGACATACTTGGGATAAGACCATGTGGGGGTTCCCATGACACCCGGAGTAAGACCCTGGAGGGGTTCAAGGGCATCATTTTATGTTTGTATGCATGGTTTTATGTGGTATATGTAGCTGATATAGCTAATATGGTTTATGTGATTATGTGGATTGTGTGGGGTATACTATGGGGAACTCACTAAGCATTAACTTACAGTTTGTTGGTTGTTTCAGGTACTTCAGGATCTAAGGGCAAGGGCCCGGCGTGATGGCGTGACATGCACTCTCTGGCGTTTCATTTGAGACACTCTGATTTTATGAATAATTTATCTGGTGTTATGAATTTTGAAAACAAATGTGTATGGAATTTTATATCTTATGAAAATGTTTTGGTTATTTAAAATGAAAAAAAAAACTTATTGGAAATTTAGGCTATTACAGTGTTGCTCTAGTGATTCATGTAGAAAATATGAAAACTCATATGTAAAAACTAACATGCAGATCCAACGATTTGGTTAGTTTAAATAACTGTTATGCCTAATTTTCAGTATGCTTCACCTGTAACAAACTAAGATGCAGATCGTTAAAAAAATATGCATAACAGGTCCTTTATAAAAGAAGGACAAAATGGTAAGATCTTAACATCTTGACACATTAATGAGTTTATGAAAAGACAAAACTAACCTCCAAAGCAGTTGATTTCAAGCTCAAATTATAAACCTATGCAACAATGAGACTTGTGTCACCTCACCTGTAACAAACTAAGATGTAGACCCTAAAAAAAACCTGCATAACAGGTCCTTTATAAAAAAGGACAAAATGATATTATCTAACGCCTTGTTCCCGAGTTCTACTTAAGGAGGGATATGGATGAATACAGAGGGAAAGTGAGAGATGTTGAAGGAAAATCGTGTTCCCAAGTTTCATTAATGTAAGGAAAGTGAGGGGAGGGAAATGATTTTTGAGCCATATTTTCCTTCCAAAATTTCCTCCCAAATTGGGCGGATTTGGGAAGAAAGTGAGGGGAAGGAAAATGTTAAGTTTTATTTTCTTTTTTCCTCCTAACTCGGAAACACAAAAAACGTTTCTTTCCCCTTCCCTTTCTTTTTGTCAAAATTTTCCTTCCCTTTCCTTTATTGAGTTTACAAAAAAAACTCGGGAACAAGGCGTAAAAGAAAAAAATATTTCCAGTAATAGTTTAATTCTTTTTCATGTTTGAAAGTACTGATAAATGTCTGTAAAAGAAAAATATAAGATCTTAACATCTTGACACATTAATGAGTTTGTGAAAAGACAAAACTAACATCCAAAGTATTTGATTTCAAGCTCAAATTATTAACCTATGCATCAATGAGTCCTATGTTATCTTTATATCGAAGAATTTCTGATTTTAAATATTGTATTTCTGATAGTTGACTATCACGATCTTCCCTTGGTTTTTGTAATTCACTTCTAAGTACCTTGACCTCATTTGTAGGATCTGACTTTTGTTTGAATGCATTATCTAGTGAATCATGTGATAACACACAGTTAAATTGGGAACAATTGGAAAAAAGATTGAGATGAAAGAAAAGGGTTACTTTGGCTGATGTGAACTCATTAGCAGTTGTCAGATTCTGGTCAGAGACAAATAGCTTTTCCTATAAAGAATCTCGATCCTTTAAAGGAAATACCATCAAACTGCAAGGCGGAGTATCAAAGATTGTAGCTTTGCAGGCGAATATAGGAAGGGGAAAACCAACTGAATCAATCATTAGGAAGTCGATTTAGTGCTAAACTTAAATCAATAGAATACCTGAGAATGTGAGATGACGAACACGTGAAATAGGAAGGGGAAAACCAACTAAATCAATCAACCATCTTCTTCGTTTTCTTTGTTAAGAAACCCTTTCCCCCAAACCCCAAACCTGCAATGTGTCCGTCTGAATAGGCTGTCAAGAAGAAGATAGAAAAACGGTGAAGGTGAAGGGGATAATAATATTGAAACTACAGAACCTTTAGGAAGATTGTATCGACGGCGTAAGGAGGATGACCGTAAGAAATTGCTGCCGAAGTATGAAGAAAGGAATACGAATTGTGGTTTGACGGTGATTGCTGTAAGGCATAACAAAATGGAGTACTAATATTTCAAAAGAAAAGACGTGTGAACTTTTTGTGTGAGGATGACATCATCAATTTGATTCGACAGTGAAAAATTATAAAGGAATGACAATTAATGGGCCTGACTGTTGAAGATGATGTAATAAAGTTTTCTCTTTTACTATATATAAAGATAGAGAAGATAGAAATTCCCATCAAGATTTATCACTTATATTTGTATGTTGGTATTCGTAAGTCGATTTAATTGGATATGATTCTTTTTGTATATTAAATTTATTTGACAAGATATATATATATATTTATGATATGTGTCTTTTGAGTTATTTGAATTTATAAATCAAAACTTAAATTAGATTCATACAAATCTCGGATATACATGGAAAAAAAATCAGCCAAACAAATAATCGAGATAAATGCTAACCTAAAATCTCGATGTTGGATAATTGAACTTTTAAACTTCTTTCCGTATGTGACGCTCTAATACCGCTTATTAGGAAATAAAAAAAAAAAAAAAAATCCCACCGTCAGGCGGCTAAATATCTAGAGTTATATAATGACAATTTTGTACCAGAAAAATTAAACAACAAAGCAGGGTGGACTCCGCCTACGAAATTGATTCCTCTTTGCTTCTCTATCGACGTATCGACGAAAACCTTTTTACGATGCACTAAGATTTTTGATCTCAGATTTTTCCCTCCGTCGTATCGTAAAATCTCAGGTACTTATCTAGATCATTACTCTGTAAACTTACTTCAGGATTCCGAGCAATCATTATGCATCGTCGTAATTCGATTTCACAGTCCTCATCGGAAACGCGTTTGTATTTCGTTGTTGGAGATTTTGTTTTATTTGCTCTGATTTGTGGGGGTTGATTGCTCTGCTTGTCTGTCATAGATATATATTATTGCAGAAAAAATATGTCCCGTAGTAAACTAGGGTTTGACTTGAATAATTGTTTGTGGGCTTGGGGTTTGGGTTTTATATCTGCGCAAATATTAAGGATGTTGAGGATGCTATATATGTTTGAATGGTGGGGGCACACACCTACATAGCTTCTGATATATTTGTTCATAAACCTTTAAAACACCGTTTCCTCTCTATTATTTAGTTTGTTGTTTCATCGCAAAACAACAGTATATGTGAGGTAGTGCCCTAGCAGTGTCTCACTATAACTGTTTGTATTTTTTCTTTTTACAATGTTTTAGGCAAAAAAAAGCCTTATATGAAACTATATTTTGTTTCAGAAATTTCTTGAATCATTCACCCCAAGTGTATGGTCTTGGGGTTTATTATAAGCTTATTCACATTCTAATATGGCCTACAAACTTCCATTTAGCAGAACTGTTTGATCTTAAACCCACTTTCCAGCTCATTATCTGTTTGAAATATATCTTGCTGTTGATGTGCTTCTCAATCAATTTATTCGACCAATAAGGTGGTAAATGCATTGTTATGCACTTTAGAAAGAGAAACCACCCCTCACTAAGATAAATCATCAAGGAAGGTGAGTAATTAGGCTGTCATAGCACATTGCAAAGGAATCTGTAATCCCACAAAGGTTTGGATGGATGGATAGTCTTTTATATTCGTGTTATAACTGCCACTATTGAAATTTCATGTGATCTATTATGACACTGTGTTATTGCTTTCTGGTGGAACAGGTGTCCTCTTTCAGCTGCTACCTTGCTGAAGGACTGGTGTGATTATGACGATGTCCCAGATGAAGACCATCGAGTTGGAGGAAGGATGGAGTTTCATGCAGACTGGCATACAGAAGCTGAAGAAAATTTTGGAAGGGCTTCCAGAACCACAATTTAGCTCAGAAGAATACATGATGCTATACACGTATTCTTATCTCCAAATTTATCTTTTTTTTTCACCTTTGTAAAAGTCTCATCCCCTGGGATGGATTTAGTACATTATGCTACTAATTTTTCCAAGATTTTGACTTAATCTATTTTTGTCACTCTTGTACAGCACCATCTATAACATGTGTACTCAAAAGCCTCCTCATGACTATTCCCAGCAGCTGTATGATAAATATAAGGAAGCATTTGAAGATTATATTGGCTCTACGGTAATCCCCTTCTCTTTTTGTTTTGCTTTCAACACAAATTGCTATTGGTATGTAACATAGCATGTGGTTTTGAATTAATCAATTAAAGAAATAAAACATTAGTAGACATCATGCACACATATAGCAGGTGGCAGATAATGGAAAGTCACATGCAATGTCTTCCTTAAGATTGATTTCTCCATGCTATTCTAGTTCACACACAGCACATTTTCTTATTACTGAAAACAAGCGTGTGTTTGTGAAATTCAGTAACAATATTTCAATATATGTAAGACACATGGCATATATACCTTTGCCATTGATTCTTACAGCTGCATTTGACATCTTTTTTTTAAGGTACTGACATCATTAAGAGAGAAACACGATGAGTTCATGTTGCGGGAGCTTGTAAAGCGATGGGCAAACCATAAAGTAATGGTTAGGTGGCTTTCACGTTTTTTCCACTATCTTGATCGTTATTTCATTGCTAGAAGGTCCCTACCTGCACTCAATGAAGTTGGTCTGACTTGTTTTCGTGAATCGGTTAGTATTCTTTTCAACAGATAGTTAATAACAGGTTTTGGTTTCTTAATTGGTAACTAATGAGAATTTTTTTTTTGGAGTACAGGTTTATGAAGAGGCTAAGGGTAAAGCTAAAGATGCTGTTATTGCACTTGTAAGTTGTTTTATATGCTCATGCACCAATTTCTGTTGGTGATGTAGAGTTGAAGTTAACATTGCTTGTGATCCAGATTGATCAAGAACGTGAAGGAGAGCAGATTGATAGAGCATTATTGAAAAATGTCCTTGGTATATATGTTGAGATCGGAATGGGACAGATGGATTTCTATGAAAAAGACTTTGAAACTGACATGCTTGTTGATTCTGCTGGTTATTATTCCCGGAAAGCATCAAACTGGATTGTGGAAGATTCATGTCCTGATTACATGTTGAAGGTATGTTCTGTTAAGCTTTTACTGCCATTCCTCTCGTTAAAAATTACTGTTGTTTGTGTTACTGTTCCTGTCACTGTTAGGGCTATTCCTTTTTCCCATTAAGAACTGTATCGGTAAAGTGGTTGAATGGGTGATTATGTCTATTTGGATAAAGTTTTGTGTACATAAGGTCTGTTTCTTTTCTAGACCGAATAATCCATCTGAATGAGACTAAAGGACCTTTTTACTGTTACATTACAAAAGAAGAAAGGCAAATAGGTAAGGGGTTAGGATCTATCTATTATCTAAATACATTAAACCAAGTCTTATGGCTGGCTTAACCCATTAAGCCATTCTGTCCAGATCAAGTTCCTAACCCATTAAGCTCATTTAGTTAAAAAGAAACAGCCCCATGGTGTTACAGTATATTTTGTGTTTATTTAGATTTGTTTGATTGAATTCTTGTATGGAACACAGGCCGAGGATTGTTTAAGAAGAGAAAAAGAAAGAGTAGCTCACTATCTGCATTCAAGCAGTGAATCAAAGCTCTTAGAGGTTGGGTTTTCCAAGATGATTATGTGGAGTTAGTTAGTTTATGGCATTTTATTGTTCTAATTTAATGACTTGATATATATATATATATATATATATATATATATATTCTTTTTACCCTTACAGAGAGTGCAAAACGAATTGTTGGTGGTATATAGCAGTCAATTGCTTGAAAAAGAGCATTCCGGATGTCGTACCTTGCTTCGAGATGATAAGGTATTTAAGGATTTTCACATTTAAGGAGCATCTGCATCATGATCCTTATCTAAATAAATTATCATGTTCATTGACAAACAGGTGGATGATCTGTCGAGGATGTATAGGCTCTTCTCTAAAATTCCCAAAGGATTAGATCCTGTTGCTAATATGTTCAAGCAGGTAGGTATTATTTTCCTCATATGAGATTGTCTAGATTTCAGCTTTTGATGATTTGATTTGTTTATTGTTTTGGGGTGATAGCATGTTACTGCTGAAGGAATGACTCTAGTCCAACAAGCTGAAGAGGCTGCAAGTAACAAGGTAAGATTCAACCCAACTTTTAATCTTTTTCTTATGAAGACATTGTACTTTGAAAAATCTACCCCAATTATGCTATTTAATCTTCTAGATTTTTCAAAGTACAATGCTGTAATGGAAAGAGTTGGAAGTAGAATGCCATAATAAACAGATAAATGAAATATGTTGCTGATTTACATGTTTGATTAACTAAGTGCTTGCAAATGTTTTTTACACAGGCGGAGAATGTTGGTGGTCCACAAGAGCAGGTAATTGAGTGAAAAAATATGCACAGAGGTCGTTGATTACCCACAAAAAGAAATATATAACATTGTCGATTTTTCAGGTGTTTGTCAGGAAAATAATTGAGTTGCATGACAAGTTCATGGCATATGTTACAGATTGCTTCATGAATCATACACTGTTTCACAAGGTCAGTATCATCTTTTTTTATCATCTTGTCTATTTCAGTATTAATTGATTTAGCAAAAGGTTTACCCTGTTTTTGGTTTTTGTTTAGGCCCTAAAAGAGGCATTTGAAGTTTTCTGTAATAAAATTGTGGCTGGTTGCTCGAGTGCGGAGCTTCTGGCTTCATACTGTGACAATATCCTGAAAAAGGGGGGTAGTGAGAAGTTGAGTGATGAAGCAATTGAAGAAACCTTGGATAAGGTAGCCTTAACTGCTTTGCTTTTATTTGACATTATTTGTGGCATGAGATTGTGATGACATGGACTTTGATTTTACAGGTGGTTAAGCTCCTTGCTTACATCAGCGATAAAGATCTTTTCGCGGAGTTTTATAGGTAGGTTATACTATATATATATATATATATATATATATATATATATATATATATATAGTAAGATTAAGATTTGTTTGTGGTGTTGTCACTTGTTTAGGAAAAAATAAATAAATTTTATATATTTTTTGCAGAAAGAAACTATCTCGGCGTTTGCTTTTTGATAAGAGTGCGAATGATGATCACGAAAGGTTGATACTGTCAAAGCTAAAACAGCAATGTGGTGGACAGTTTACATCAAAGATGGAGGGCATGGTGACGGATTTGGCATTGGCAAAGGAGAATCACAGTCAGTTTAACGACTACCTTTCCGGTAATGCTTTTGCCAATCCCGGAATTGATTTGACAGTCACTGTTTTGACTACGGGTTTCTGGCCAAGCTACAAGTCCTCTGATCTTAGCCTGCCTGCAGAAATGGTAAAAAAATAAAAAACAATCAAACTTGTTATACTTGTAGATGCCTCTGATCTGATATGTTGTTTTTTTGGGTTTGGGTTTCAGGTGAAGTGTGTTGAAGTGTTTAAGGAGTTCTATCAGACGAAAACCAAACACAGAAAGCTGACCTGGATTTACTCTTTGGGGACATGCAATGTGAATGGTAAATTTGATCAGAAAACCATAGAGCTGATTTTGGGAACATACCAGGTAACAGTTTAGTGGAGGTTGATTTGTTATTTTTTGTTGCATGTGTTTGTGGTTGATAGTTTGTTTTGTTTCCAGGCAGCAGCGTTACTGCTGTTCAATGCTTCAGATAGACTAAGTTACTCGGATATCAAGACACAGCTAAATCTTGCTGATGAAGATGTGGTGAGATTACTCCAATCGCTATCATGTGCCAAGTACAAGATTCTCATCAAGGAGCCAGCCTCGAGAACCGTTTCTGAAACCGATTCCTTCCACTTTAATTCAAAGTTCACTGATAGGATGAGGAGGATCAGGGTGCGCATAGTTTCATTTCATTTATGTGTTATATAATATAATTGTTCTTGTTAATGACTGATGTGTGTGAATCAGATTCCCTTGCCACCTGTGGATGAGAGGAAGAAAGTTGTGGAGGATGTTGATAAGGACAGGCGATATGCGATAGATGCGTCCATTGTTCGCATCATGAAGTCGCGCAAAGTTCTTGGTCATCAACAGCTGGTGATGGAGTGTGTAGAGCAGCTAGGCCGCATGTTCAAGGTTTGGTCTATTCCATTTCCATATTAATTAATAAGCAAACATTTCTGGAGATAGCAATGATTTGATTGTATTTGTGCAGCCTGATTTCAAGGCGATAAAGAAGAGGATTGAAGATTTGATCACACGGGAGTACTTGGAGAGAGACAAGGAGAACCCTAATCTGTTCAAGTATTTGGCCTGATCCATTCCATGGAATAGAAAGCTAGTCAGCCAATCACAATCACATTTTGTTATCTCTGTGCTTACTACTACTGCTACTTGTTTTGGCTTTTACTACCCGGTGAGCATTGAATGGGATGGGAATGGGGGTGGGGTCTGTGGATATATTTTCTTCTTTGACAATCACTTCACTTCATGTGCAGTTGACAATGACATATTGAAAATCTCTTATCTCAAATCTCAAATCTCAAATCTGTTAGGGACGAAGTAAATTTGATATTTTGATGAAAATGCTGAGCAATCTTTTTAGGCCATGTTTATCAACTGATTTTTTAGGCATTCATTAGCCATGTCACAGTTGTGATAGTTTGGGCTTTCTTCCAACTGGTTTCCATTTCCAGTCCACTGTCTTGTCTTGAATTGGCAATGGCAGTTGTGGATCTGAAATTCACTGTTTACATGTCTTGATCGTTTTGGAAGATATGTAATGTCCTGGTCACCTTTACAAATTAAAACATGTGTACAAAACCGGTTGTCATGGGCCTATTAATTAAAAAGACTTTTGTTTGCAGAAGTAAGTGATAGATATTTGATAAATAGATGTTATCAAGATATAAAAAATCATAACTGGTGTGACCGATCAGATCAGGCATTTTTATTAAGTTGTCTTTAGTTGGCATTCAAGCAAAGAGAGAAAGTAGTACAATCTCGATGAGCCCTACAAGGAGGGCCGTTTGTTAGATAGCGAACTAGCTACCCTAAGGTAGCTACTCTTGAGTTGCTTTCTAACAGAGTAGGTTGCCCTTCTGGTTGTCTCATAGCTTTTCCCTCCTCTCCCATTCCCCATCCATTGAAGCATTAACTGTAAAGCATGATCTCTTCCTCATAAACACGTAAAGGAAAGTCTGAAACATTTTCTTTCAAAGAGCATATTCCTAACACTCTATTATCTGCCGTCTTTATACTCTTGATCAGGGAAGCATGTACTCTTTTGTAAACATTCAAGAGAGTCCCTAGTGTAGGTAGTTTTTTTTTGTAGATATCTGGATTATTTAAGAAAACAAAAAATGAAAAGTTTGTGAAGAACAAATGTCGTTCACTTGATTTTTTTTTGTGTGCTAAAAGTAAAAACATATGGGTTTCGATTAACGCAATTGAATTGAAGATATGGACATATTCTTGCGGGGTATGCATGCAATTTGCTACACTAGAGAAGATGCCTTCTTCCTATCCCCATGAATGAAGATACTGACACCTTCGTTAAACTTATCCACCGCAACATCAAATCCACAAACATCCTCCTCGACAAATCCAACAACTCCTGCGTCTCTGACTATGACCTCTCCTCTTTCACCCTTCCAACTGCCGCCCCACGATCCGCCGACTACCGTGCACCTGAACTATCATCGGCGGGCAACAACCGTAAGCCCACCCAGAAATCCGAGCTCTATTCTTTCGGGGGTCCTGTTAATGGAGCTTCTCTACAGAAAATGCCCATCCATGGTGGACAATAGTGGGGTTTTGAACCCACCGGTGGGTTCAGTCGATGACGAGAGAAGAATGAATGGTAGAGTTGTTTGATTTGGAGATGATGAGATACAAGGACACTGAAAAAAAGATAGCGATACAAGGACACTGAAAAAAAGATAGCGATACAAGGACACTGAAAAAAAGATAGCGAAGCTGATTTGTAGATGTGTAGTACTTGCTTTATTGTGTACCTTAGGTGCACGCCCTTCCATGAAAAATATTGTAAAATTGATTGTTTTGAATAAAAAACATAAAACAAAGTTGAGCATTTGGAAGCAATTTATAGGTACTTTTCTGGGGAGCCGCAACGCACACATCTACTAGACACGTGGCAGGTGGCGGTTCCTCCCCCACGGTAACGTGGCTATTTGTGAGTGGTTTGACGTGGCAAAGCGGATAGGTCGGACAGAACTTCAAAACTTCATATCTCTACCATACGAACTCTATTTTCGACGTTCTTTATATCTACGCGTAGGTATTTCCAAGTACTACACTTTCATTTAGATCTCGTCGGCTAACTTTTATCTGATCTTAAATTTAACACTCTACGAAGATTAGACTGTTAACGACCGTGTAAAATTCATAACTTTTACATACGGACTCCGCTGAAACTTCGAAAAATCATAACTTCCTCTCACGAAGTCAGGTTTGGACGTTCTCTATATGCACGCTCTCGATTTTACTACTACTACACTTTCATTTTAGTTCACTTAAGCTAAAAAGTAATTTATCAAAATTTCACTTTCTACGATATGAGAGCCGTGTCGATTTGATCGCAAAACTTCGAAGAAACATAACTTCTTCATACGAAGTCGGATTTCATGGAATCCTTGTCATATGTACTATAATTTCAGTTAATATTATTTATTCTAAATAATCATCGGTCAAAAAGTCGTTTTTATCGCTTATTATATCTTATTTGTCTAGCCCGAATCTACGGACGTTACATGTGTAATTCAAAAGCACGGTCAACTATACTCAACCACTCGATGAATTCGTCCGAACTGGCCTTTCTCGTGAATTCAAGAATCTCAACCCTTATCCCAGTGCTTCGAAGAGACGTAACAATGTTTTCCATGAAAATTATGATGGTGGTTGGCAAAAGAATTCCCTTCCTCATAACCACCCTCGTATCATTATGTTCGTCTGTCTGTCTCTCCTTCTGATGTAGTTCTAGTTCTTGCACTCTTTGTTGAAGTTGTCCGATCTCTATGTAATGTAGATCTCGTTGGTTAATTATAGGTGCTTCAACAATCGACAACATCACCTTGAGGTCTTCCACGTCCACGAACAATGGGATTCCCATCAGCCATTTGAGCACCAAAGGCTATGATACCAAATGATGTAGGATCGACAATTCAAAAAAAATCACATAAATCAAGAACACAAAGAACGACCAAAGAATCCAAATTTAGGTTAGGTTTTATTATAAACGTCAAAGATAACTTTCGAGGAAAACAAAACAAATACTCATTGTAACCGATAACCTAATAAAGAATTTAAATTTAATTAGGAAAGTCTATCCTAAACAAAAGTTATCACAATCTTCGTAAATTCAAATAAACCAATTAGTATTAGAAAATAGAGAAACGTAATTTTGGCTCTTTAATGATCCCGAATGGACAAAAACATCTTACGTCGTCATGGCAAAGCTATGAGTTTTGCCCGTAGGCTCGTTTCGGATGATCATGCAAATTTCGTCTAGTTCACCAAATCAGTTGCAACCATATTTCCCAACTCATAATCTTGAAAATCTGGATCGCCAAATTTGGCACAGATATCTCATATTTGCAGGAAAGTTTGCGACAAAAAATCATTTGTGAACACAAAAATACAAGCAAAAAATGGTGGCAACAAATGTGGGCCTTTCCCCACCATTCATCGGAGCCAAAAAAGTTAAACAAAAATACAGAAAAAGATCAGCAGAAGCACAAAAATGCAAAATTAATTTTAGGATTTTTATTATATCTGGCGAATCATATGGTATATGAAAAAAGAAAAGGCTAATACCCACTTATAAACAATTTGCCACAACCATAACTTGCCTAAATCCACGATCGTTGCTAGGATTCTCATTATATAATCCATGAGTTCGTTAGTACATATGCCAACAAATACTCTCAGTTCCTTCTCTAACAATAATTCGAACCGAAAAAGATACATGATTTTGTCACAAATGATCCCAAAAAAAAAAAAAAAAATCTATCGCAAACAACCGCAACCTAAATGTCTTTATATGCTTAACAAAGTGAACCAAATCAAACTTCTTAAACCATCTTCGATGCTACATTAAGTATTTACTCAACGATTTCGGTCATTTCTCAATGTAAACTAACTCCACGACACCATTATGTACAAAACGGTCAACTGCAGTCAAAGTCAAAACTACAATTAATAAAAATGCATAACTTTCAAAAAGAACAACAATGAAGATGGCAAATGGGATAAATTTAATTCAATAGCATAGTTGTGTAAGTTGTAATCATTCATATTACATTAATTATGTATTTAATTCAGGTAAAATAAAGAAAAAAAGTTTATATAACATTTACATACCTGGAAAGACAGAAACTTGATGTCAACCCCTTCGACTTCAGCAAACTAAATCACGATATACTGACAACATGGCAACCTTATGATTTTTCCAAATGACAATCAACAACATAACAAATTAACAATGCTCAATCCAATCAACCAACCCTCCTTCTCACTCACTAAACTGATCAATCAATCTTTCATCTGCAACTTTTTATTTGATCAGCTCCTTATTTGTACTGTACACTTGTACAAAGGGTGTTGAAATCTTGTCCCCAACATCTAAACAGGTGGTTTTATAGAAGAGCTGAAAGAGATCAAATTACCCAAAAAATCACCTGCTAATTACTTCCATTGCAACCCTTACAAGTTGTAACAATCCTTCAACATCCTGGAAGTTGAAATCCAGAGCCGGTTTGATTATTTCTTTATGGTGGGCATGTTCTGGTTGTGAACCACATGCTGCATATGCAATCTGAGATCTTCTTGAAGCTTCCATTGCAAAGTTGACATCCTGTGCCTGCAAATGTATGTTTTCAATGAAGAGAATGAGAGGGGCATTTATGTCTTTTAGATCAAGAACCAGCAGGACAAAATGGGAATTACAACATGATGATTCATTTAAATTGTGCACTTACAAAGTTAAGAATCCGCAAAAAATTGGGCTTATTTCGAGCAGCAATCACATGATTTCCAGCAATTTGAGGATCAGTAACACCCTTGGCTATGGCAGCTTTGTCAACAGCTGCTGGGTTGTTGTTATTCAAGTTATCGATATCAGAGGCCGAGGAAGAAGGGGACTCACCTACAACAAATATAAACATCGCATAAAAATCTTTATTAACAGGCGTTTAAACTTTAAACTAAATAATGTGCCTTTAGTTCAAAGTGTTTAATCATACAAGATAAGTGTAAAGGCTTTAAATGCAATAAATGAGAAGAAAAAAGCATACATACCAGTAGGACCTATTTGGAGAGACGTTTGCAATTCTTGCCGATCTTTGCATGCGTTTGTATGTGATGAATAGACCACCTTTAAATATGCCACCTCAGCCAATTTGTAGGCCAGAGCTGCAGCAGCCATTTCTTTTGATTTCTCGTATTCATGTGCAACATACCTATTATTAATATCATCATTAATCAAACATTGTTACAAGAAAGGAAAATGTATTATGGGTAAAGAAATGTAAGCATACTTACTCGCAAAGTTTTGCAGTGCTACCATACATGACCATTGACTGAATCATATCACCATGTTTCCCAGTCTCACTACGGCTGGATTCCAATAAAGAGGACCCATAAAGAAACTTAAGGGCAGCTTGGAAATAAAGTGAATTACTCTCATGGTTGGATCCAGAATTCTGCAAAAATCAATTATCAATCAACCACCTCATCACACACATACACATAGTCAATTAGTCATACAAACATGATTTAAGGAATAACTTCAACAAACCTTAAGGCGATCAGCCATGTGCTTAAGAGCTTTTGCCTCTTTAACAGCACTTGCAGCCTGACTCGATGATTCCCGTCTGAGTGGACTCGGTGCATCATGATCCCTTCCCTTATTATGCCTATTCGGGGGGGTTGGATGTCTTACACTCGTTGACTGGTTTTCAACTTTCTTTTTCTGCTTTGCTCCTTTCAATACATCACTTCCTTCAACACCATCAACCAGTAAACCATTTTCTTTTTGAGAAACCACACAAGGTTGTGGAGGGCGTGACGCGTCATTTTGACCTTTTCCTGTAGGGGGTAAAGAGTGTGACTTTCCTCTTCCGGAAACATCCTTCTTTGAAATCCTTTCAACATCTCGTTCCATCGACACATTATTCTGCTTCACGTCATGAACCGGGACAGGGGCAGAATCGTCATTGTGTCCATGCTTTGACTGGGCATCCCGTTTACTAGTGTTCTCACTCAATGGTTTTGAAGAATCTTTTTTTGAAGCTGACCCCTTTTCAAACTTATCGGGATATACAGATGGCTTCTCTTGAGATTTGTGTCGCCCTGCCTTTGACTTTTCTTCATAAATAGGGACATCTGATATCTTAAGGTTAATCTTGTCAATATCAGATTTAGAACTCCGGTTTTTGTCTTTAGATCTTGAGGAGGATCCTTTCCCGTTTTTCCTTGAACGAGACCCATTGGAATGAGATCTGTCATCGTTATGGCCTTGAGCGGACGGTTTTGCCCCTGAGGTACCAACACGAAATGTTTCAAATTCAAGAGAAGGGGCAATTTCCACCTTACCTAAACCCTTATCTAAAGATTCTGTTACATCTAAATCCTTCTTGAATGTTGTGTTTGATCGGAAACTTCCTCTATCTTCCTCCCAGTCTTTTTTAGGACTGACAACATCTTGACAATTATCAACACCTTCAATGTTCCTTCTAGAAGATATAATAAGCTTATCAGGATTCAAGATTCTCAAAGGAGATGAAGAAACGGATTCCACTGGTGACCCTTTTGCTTCCTGGATATTGGTTTTAGTTTTATGAGAACCGGATACTTTTGAAGAGCTTGAAGTAGCAGCCAATGAAGCATGCAGTGGCACAGGCACATGATCTTTTCTAGAAGAATCTATCACTCTAATTCTTCCCTCACCTTTGCTTGCAAACATTTCTTCCTCACGGGGTTCAGGTACTTTTACCCTTTTACCCTTTCTATGCCCATTTTCACTCGTTTCTTCCTCAAATTCATTAGATTTCCTTTTGTGCACAACATGGGGAGTTCCGTTTGGATTTTTGGGATGCATACCCAAAACTTTTGAGGCAGATTTTGAATCTTTAAGGCGATCATCATATTTCCTATGGTCAGAAGCCCAATCTTTATCGGTCCCATGATTATCATCCGTTTTCACTTTCTTCGAATCTCTAGAACAATCTTGACTAGTCTCTCTTTTGTTCTTAATCTTCAATTGAAGAGGATTATTGTTATGATTATTATGATTATTATTACCTGTACAAGAAAAGATCAAAGTCAAGAAACCGTACAAGAAAAGAAAATATCAGAATCAATATCAAAATACCTTCATCCACAAAGTTTTCACGCAGCTTCTTCTTTTCTTTATGCTTCAATCTGTGCTTTTCTGCAATCATGCTACTAGATTGGCCAGAATCTTGAAATTCTAGATGAGAGGGAGAGTGGTGTGCACCATTCAAGCTTCTAGTTTTATTCGATGTTTGTAAATTCTTTTTTGCAGAGTTAGAAGACAATGAGGGTCTCTCTTGTTTCGGTTCATTTGGGACATCTTTTGTTCCATGCTTTTTCTTTACAGCAGCTTGTGGACCAAAAAGTTGGTGTCTTTGATCAGGATGTGGAGGAGGATCAAGTGATGTGGGCCCACCAGGATGCACCGGCTGTAGCTGTAACCCTTGGGCTGTAGGGGCTGGGCCTGGAAAATGGGCCATAATGGCCTTTGTTGTCTCTTCCTGACTGATGCTGCAGCGGTTCATTCCAGGCCTATTGATGTTGACATATGTTAAAAATATGTCAAGAACCATCATTCTTATAAAAATGCAAGAAAGAAATTCTATAGTTTACATGAATGAGCATTTTGCTATCGATATGGGCATTGTTCTATATCTGTTGCATATTTCTATTATAAGTAAAGAAAAGTAAGTAAGTTGCTTTTGGGTGTAAAGAAAGTGTAAGTATGTTGCTATTATGAGTTACATATTGCTACTATCAGTAAAAAGAAGTAATTACATAACTATTACGGGTAAATAAATGCAAGTATATTGCTATTGTTGGTAAAAAAGAGTAAAGTATGTTGCTCTTTTCCTTTAAAAAAATATGCATAAATATGTATTATACTTGGCACTTGTTGCTGGAAGATGGCTCATTTTTGCAACAAAAAGCAGCAAAGTATGGTTGTTTAAAAAGCTAATAACTTTTTCAAAAAAGTGAAAGGATAAATTTATGGAAGAAAAAAACACTTACAGCCAGTCGAGCATGCTACAGAGCCACTTTTCAGGAAGACTAGAAGGATTGACACCAGGTGGAAGAAGCCTCCATTTCTCACATTTATCACAACAAACCCAATCTTCATTGACAACTGCAGGCACTGTTCCAGAAGCTGCATCAGAAACAGGTGTGGGTCCCATTATCGGGGCTATAAGTGGGGCCACTCCCGGATACACTACCGAAGAGGGTTTCTGATCTTTCTTTCCATTTACTCTATCTTTTGACAAAATATTAGTTTCTAGAGTACCCTTTTCGGTTACTCTATTGTCCTTTTGCCTATCCCCAAAAGGCTTTTCCTCTGAAGCCATGTCATCGCCCTCTTCAAGTTCTGGATCAAGTTCTCCAAAGAAATCTTTGTATGTATCTCTCACTTTGACATTATTGCCCCTCAGATCATCCGTTTTCGACCCGTGAGCGTTGTTTTTACTTTTGGAAGGGTCATTCTTGACTTTCAAGACCTCGACACTTTCAAAACCATTTTCCAAACTTCCTTTTGATTTCTTTTTTCCCCCAGAAGATGACGTGGCCAATTTTGTGGAATCTTTTTCTCGTGATGTAGCTTTGTGAGCAGCCTTCTGCTTTGGGGGCTGGACTTTTCCATTCTTGGAAACATCTGAATCGGATTTTGTAGGGAAAGTTGGATACTTTTCATCAGAATTTGAATCTTTTTTATAAGGCTTCTCAGCCCGAATATCATTTGGTGTCAAAACTGGATATAAAGATTCTTCTTTTGGTATAACGCCAGATGATCCACCCTTAAAGGCAGCACCTTTTCTGAAATCCACCCTCATACCATTAGAGAGAGGTTCTTCACAAGACAGATTATCCATGTCAGCTTCCTTTTTTGTTACACCACCAATGCCATCACAAACAATGTTAACGTTTTTCAGTTCAGGTGGGACCAAATTACCCTCGGTCTTTGGCTTCTTCTCGTTTCGGTCAACTTTAATATCAGGCCTATTAACTGTCAAAGTACTTTCTTGACTTTTTTTATGCACAGAGCCACAACTACTATCCTCCCATTTTTCTTTTTCAGTCAAATACAAGAGTTCATAAGGAAGAGGGGATAACAGTAGACCTCCAAGAACCGGAAATGATGTCATCATCTATTGCAGAATCAAAAATTCAAAATTAAAATCTTACCCACATAAAAAGAAGATCAAGATTCAAGAAAATATTAGGAGCTTTACCGACCTCAAGAATACTAGTGGGGGATTCCTCATGAGGGCTGCCATTAGGCAAGTGACAAAAATCATCACTGTCTACAGGACTAGCTTCCAATGATGATGAAGGGGAGACATCAAGGCCAAGTCCACTGTAGATTTCAGCATTTTTTCTAGTCGACAAGGTATCAGAGCCAACTTTGATTCTAACCTTGAGCGACTTTTGGTCAGAAATGTTAGCAAAGTTGTTAACAGATTGTCCATTAGAAGTGAATTTGTCACCAGCCTTATTAAATAAGTGGTGCCCTTCTTGTTTCACTTTACCATTCATCAAGTGACCCCTTGGTGGTGGTGCAGATGCACCACCAGTCAAAACTGATCCATGCTTTGTTGATTGAGATGCATTTGATGTGGATACAGAGCTCTGACGACCACCCTGTGTAGTAATATAACTAAATACACTTGTGCAAAATGTAAATGCAACCATTAACTATGGTATTGATTACTGAAAGAGGGGTTGGTATTATGCCAATTATGGTGGATGTGGATTACCTCTACATGAAGATCATTTGGAGATATGGATTGATTATTGGTGGGAATTTTTGGTGGCGTCTTTGGATGAGGGCAAGCAGGAGAACGTTGATAAGTGGGCAAAAATGAACCGTATCCCCCAAACTTTGCCCCTGCAAATAAGCACAAATGCTAGAATCAGCATTCCAGCACTTTTAGTTTGGGCATACCAACGATCCGCTACTTCTTTAACTTACCCAAGTTTTCAGCTGAAACTCCACCTTCAAAATCCTTCTGAAAATGTCCCAACACATCTTGAAGTTTCTCATCCTTCAGAAATTACAAGTATGTGTAAGAGAAACAACTACAAGCTTTGATAGGACAATCACATGTTCACATTGCATATAAATTCTTTGACTCGAATATGATATACATATAACATATTAACTGTTTCTTTACTTCAAAAATCACAAGAAAAAAGAACCAAAGTACTACACAAATCAAGAGACTAGGCATACGTCTTCCGTTTCTTAATCATATTTGTCCTTGAATGAATACCCTTAGTTACCTTTTCTATCTGTTATGTTTTGAATGTCTTGTTCTCTCATCTAGGTCAAATCAACTACCCATTAACCTATTTTGCAACTGCAAAAACGGAATAGCATGTTGCAATTACTAGAAACTAGAATTACTTTCCTTACCAAGCATGAAAAAACATTAAAGGACTAACCTTTTGGAACGGAAGGTCTAATAAGTAAAGAGCGATAAGGTCTAAGTTTACGCATTTATTATATGAGTTATAAGAGAATTTCTGTCTTTTATTGGTTTCCTTATAGACTTCATGCACACAAACTCACGTATATAAACTCATCCATGTGCATAATCTATATATCATGCATTTGTATCTCCCCACATGTACTCTTGCAACATAGATTCGCCTCGTAATTACTAGCCTGACAACAAACTAATTTTTTTTTGTTTCTCTTGGTTCAAACAAGGAGCAAGTCACTTGTTACAACACAATAAGTCAAGATTCAGAAACCAGTTCAGAATGTCACTAACCCTAAAAACTCAAAATTGTCACACTCCATAGATGTAGGTTAATTACTCATGATGCTTGATAAGCATCCAATGCTCTAAAAGTAGGGAAAATTTTAACGGAAGGTTCAAAGGTAGCTACAAAAATCCAATGTCCACAATCATGTCCAAGTACTTATTTGTTGAGGAGAAATTTACAAATAGAAACAAAGATGGGTGTGGGGTTGTTGGATGTGTGTTTCTAAGCTATTTATTGCAAAATGGATGGTTATAATCAAATAATGAGCTGACTGAAGCTAGGAATAGGTAGGTAAGATCAGATTTCTCTCAATAGCAACTTCTTATATACTTCCCCAAATCTGATTACTTTTACCCTAACACTCATGCTGATTATGGAAAAAGCACATCCAAACAACCATGTACAGGCTACTGAAATTCAGGCAAACATCAATTCAAGTTGTTACGTATACAGATAGAAAGCAAATTATACATACAACACATAGATCTAACCATCCAAGACGAGGAAATTGATTTGAAACAATGCCCATTTACTAATTAATTGTAATAGAGCAATACAATTCAAAACCTAACAATTGAAACAGCTTAAACAGTAGTCGGAGAAAATTGTTCCTTACAAGATAAGAAAGAGCAACGTCAGGGTCAATTGTTGAATCATCATCGTTATTGTTCTGAAAACAGGCCTCTCCTTCTTCAAGTTCAGTCTCTAAATCCATATCTCCGCCTTCAACACCATACCTCAAACTTAACCCCTTCCTACCATCTCTACTCCCAACAGAAATCATCCAAAAGAAAAACCCAAAAAGGAGACCAATCAAATACACTTTCTTCTAAACAAAATAATTTGAAAAAGAACAAAAAAGGGGAAAAAGATATATCTCAATCAACCAAAACTTGCTTTACAAAACCGTAACAAAACTCGAAAATCTCATCGACCTTTTTTAGATAATCGAAAACCCATCAAAACCCAAAAAGGAATTCTCCCGAAACATCAAGATCGGAAACAATACCAATTTTCGCCAAACAAAATCCAAACATAAACAATGAAATACCGCAAAAAAAGAAAATAATATTGTCAGCTCAGTTCCCGATCTCTGATCAAAATTGGTTAAATTTGCTGACCCTGTTATGCTTGGATCGTGCTAAATTTTGACGATCTTCTGTTAGCTCAAATCGATGAGCGATGAAAGAAACAAAAACGGAGGAGACTCTGGTTTTGGTGTACAGCTGCCGCTTTTTTCCTTTTTTATTTATTTTTCATATTTACCTTTTTATTTGTTGTTTGGGAGTGAGGATTTTATTATATTATTTATACTTTTATTTTAAATGTTGCTAAAAAAATGCTATTTCTTTCAATTATGATAACGCTTCCAATAATCAATTACACCCTATGTTCTTATCCCACTTTCCTTTTTAAAATTAATATAACATATATCCAAAATAAATAAATAAAACCGTTCGTAATATTTGTCCAAATCATCGATGAAAATATTATCTATCCTTGGTGGAATATCACAATTATTTGATAATCTTGTAATCTCATTCCGATAAATTTGGGATATTGATGTTGATGTTGAGATAAATAATGAAAATATATAATAAGTATTGTAGCCTTGTAGGCATCCTTTCCCATTCTAAGTTAATACTAAAATAAGTTTAATTTTTAAAATCGAATAATACATAAAAAAATACACACACGCATATATATATATATATATATATATATATATATATATATATATATATATATATATATATATATATATGGGGATAGGGAATATACATTACAGTCTCACCTAAGCTTAGGTACTAAACTTCTAAAATATGTCGTTTTAACATGCTAGTTATACCCGGTTTGGTTTCACTTGGTAAATATATCATCCTCCACAACATTTCTTTCTTTCATTATCGTTTTACCATCCTTGTTTTCTTTCCTCCATTATCGTTTATTACTTCACCCAAGTGAACATTACTAAACCCTAAACCTAAACCCTAAACCCTAAATTTAAACCCTAAACCCTAAACCTAAACCTTAAACCCTAAATCTAAACCCTAAACCCTAAACCCTAAACCCTAAACGTAAACACTAAACCCTAAACCCTAAACCCTAAACCCTAAACCTAAACCTAAACCCTAAACCCTAAATCTAAACCCTAAACCTAAACCTAAACCCTAAACCCTAAACCCTAAACCCTAAATCTAAACCCTAAACCCTAAACCCTAAACCCTATTGTGTCGATTTTGAATTTACATCTTGAATTATTAATCGTGAATTCATTAACCGTAATCTTTATATAGTAAAACAATGTATTTTCAAGAGGTTTAGTACCTAAGCTTAGGTGGGGCTGTAATGTATATTCCCTTTTCCCTATATATATATATATATATATATATATATATATATATATATATATATATATATATATATTAATAATAAAAAAATAAAGTAAAATACACATGGGGTTTTTGTGGTTTGCCCAAATTCATTCTATTTTGCCCTGGTACTAATTTTGTTACATTCACTCTATTTGGTCCTAGTACTAATTTTGTTACATAGTTGGTCCTTATAGTTTGCATTACTTAGACTTCCCTCAACCTAACTTCCTTTTATTCCCACCATTAATGAGAGGCATGTGATACTCACGTGAGAGCAAAACAATTTTCGATTTGTGCCAACGACTTGCCGTCTTAATCATGCATTAAATGAGACATTGATATCGACCATCATTTCTCATGTATTGCTAATCATCTCAAGAAACCCAATGCGCCTTTTGTAACCTTCATCCTCATTGCTAGAAGCTTACAATCATAATCATATGGGGAAAAAAATCTTGAGCAAATCAAGATGAACCAACCCATAATGTGGAGTATGTATACCATTGAAGTTAGTGTGGCTATGAAAGAAATTTATGGTAAGTTCATAACCATTTACCCTAAATCTTTATCTATTTGAGTTATTGTTAATAATTTTATGATTTTTATAGAAGGTTTTGTTAATATGTTCATAGTGAGTATTAACCTGCGAAAAACATACCTTGGAGGGAGATATTGTTTGAAGATTATAACTCTACACTCAGTTTGTATTAATTTAGTCATGTCAATGTTGGATTAGGTGTCTAAGCCCATAACTATAATTGGTATGTACTTGAATTGATAGCAGCACAGTCCTTTTGGGTTGCCCTCAACCTAGCAACTGGACAAGGAAATTATGAAAGGAGAGATATTAATTTATAAGATTAATGAATTAATATAAATGATTTATTAATTTGTTAAAAGATTAATATATTAATTAGAAATCATTATGTTTAATTAATAGTTAGCCAGAAATTAATCAGAATTAATTTTGGGGTTAAAAGAATTAATTATAAAGTGCAGGGACTAGTTTGCAATTAACTAATAGTTGAGTGGATGGTTCCAGAACCCCTTTGGAAGGAGGTGGACGAAATTCTTAGGGGAAACCCTAGAGATTTCGTCCAAGGGGTCCAAATAAGACCTTTGGATCTTGCTTAGGCCCTAAGCAAAGGATAACTAGGGTTTTCCCTAAACCCTAGATCCCTCAGCTATTTAAGGAGCCTCCTGGCTCACATTTGAGGTGACTGATTTCTTTGGAAGAAACCCTAAGGCCGAAATTGCATACTCTCTCCATCCTCTCTCCTCCAAGTTTCCTTCTTGCTAGTTCTTGGGTGTGATTCCATTAGAGGCATTACATTTGTGGTGCTAAGCTTCCAAGAAGATCAAGATCAAGATCAAGAGGATTATCAATTGTTTGCTATAACAATTGAAAGGTGTGTAACTCCTAAACCCTAGTTTGTTAATTTCGAAATTAGCCTCTCTCCTCTAGGGTTCTTGTTTTGCAATTCAAAGTTATATGTTCAATAGTTAAAATATAGATCCAAAGTAGGTTGCATGTGAACTTAGGAATTGTTTTCTAGTTTATTTGTTTTACCTAAAACCCATCAGTGGTATCAGAGCCATTGTTTGTTTTAAATTGAATTGCTATAATAGTTGAATTGCAAATTAGGGTTTATTGCCATTAAACCCTAAAGGCCAAATTTTCGCAATTAGGGTTTTGGATTGAAGGGTTTTCGAAAACCCTAGCCTCCAAAGAACCCTAATCGAAATTAGGGTTAGGGTTTTGAAAACCCTAGCCTCCTCCCTTGTAAATTTCGAAATTGCTAGAAGTTTTAGGGTTTCTTGTTTTGGATAATTGTTACTTAATTAGATTAATTGGATAATTATCCTTACCCTATTTTTCGAAATTTAGAGGGATAAGGATTAGGATTAAATTAATTGATTAATTTAATTAGATAATCCTTACAAGATTTAATAATTTGATTAATAGTTAATTAAAAGATAAATATTAAATCTAGTTAATTGGTTTATTTAAATTTAAATTTAATAGTTTGAATTTCGAAATTTATATAAACCCTTGAAGTTTTAAAATGTTTTAAAACACACCCTATATATGTATTATGATTAAAAGTTTAATATTATATATGTATAAGAATATTGTCAGTCAAATCGCTAGTATGCCTCATTCACGAAGCTAATCTATAAGGGGGGTATAAGGAAACTGCCTATAAAATGGTAGTTGAATGGGTGTCCACTCTCACCCACCGCTTCCTTGATTAGTGGAAGGTCGTTAGCATAACGGATTTGATAGGACAACTACTTCTCATTAAAAGTATAATGACATTAAAGAAAGTACTAGAACATTATTTTTAAAATCCCAACTCTAGTTACTTTAGGAAAAATGTGAAAAGTATGCTAATCCATGAAATTGCACATTATGCTTTATTGGTCGTTAGTGGAGCGTGTGTGGTTAACCAGCACACTAAAGGGCACTAATAAAGAGTAGTAGTGGGTATCTCATAATTGTCATTTTGATGGAGCGTGTGTGGTTTACCAGCACATCAATAGTTAATGATAAAGACAATGAGGTTACCAAGCACATTTGCATGGTTATTCACATCTTGTTTGTGATCCTCGGCATCCCAGTCACAAATAGAAGAGCATAATCTGAGATTAAAACATGTCATTGAATAGTTTCAATGTATCTCAAAAGAATTAGGAATTTCACTTCGTTTGTTTCGTCTAATGGTGGAATTGGTGAATCGTCATTCACCTACCTTTATGAAATTTACACTTGGATCTCGGCATCCCATTTCTAAGTTGTGAATCTTCATAGTTGGATCCTAACCTTGATATTTTATCTTTGGGTTATTATATTGAGGTATCTTGAAATCTAACTAAAGCTTTCTTTCTTTTCAGATGTCTACTCCTGGAAACAATTCTGCTTCATCCTCCTCCAACCAGAACTTCTCTTTGCTCAATATCTGCTCCAAAGTCGTTATGGATGGCTCAAACTATAACGATTGGATGCGCAACATCAAGATGGCTCTTCGTTTTGAGAACAAAGAATATGTTCTTGAAAAGGAGCTCAAAGAGCTTGATGAGTCTGAAGCTACTCCTGAAGACCTTGCTGCCTACAAGAAACATTACGATGATGCTACCAAAGTGGCGTGCATCATGGTGGCAACCATGTCCCCAGAACTGCAGAGGTACTATGAGGACTACTGGCCTTTTGAGATGAACAAGGACCTTATGGAAAAGTACCATAAGCGAGCTCGTCAAGAAAAGTTTGAAGTAGTCAAGTCACTCATGGCTTGCAAGATGAAAGAAGGGGAATCGGTTGTGTCACATGTGCAAAGAATGCAACGCTACATAGAGCGTTTGGTCAAGCTCAACATTCACTTTGATGAGGAATTGGCCATTGACATGGTCTTGAACTCACTACCTGATTGTTATGGTCAGTTTATTCTAACTTACCATTTGAACAATACTGAGCAGACCTTGGCCCAATTGCACAACTTGTTGCAGACAGCTGAGGCAGGAATCAAGGGTAAAAGTATACCCTCCATGCCTACAAGTGCCCCTGTATTGGCTATTGGACAGGGAAAGGGGAAGAAGAGGAAAGGTCCTCCCAAGCAAAACTGGAAGAGCAAGGCTCAAGCTGGGTCGTCTAGTAATGGCCCAAAGGCTAAGCCCAATGGTTCCACTCCCCATGTTTCTGATCCAAAAGAGGTCGTTTGCTTTTACTGCAATCAAAAGGGGCATTGGAAGAGATCTTGCCCACAATATCTGCAAGATATCAAGGATGGCAAAGTGAAGCCATCTTCGGCAGGTATTTACACTATTTCTGCTAATAACTCATTATCTTCTCGTTGGAAGAAACCCTAAGGCCGAAATTGCATACTCTCTC